CAAGGGTGTTCGCTTGTTAAACGTCGTCGACGCCCAACGAAATGTCAACATCATCTTCTTGGTTAAGTTGAAGTAGTTGTCGTAGAATCCACCAATCAACACATCTCCATGAGAGTCACTCTCCTTCTTCAACTCCCTCAATGCAGACCAACCAGATGACTGTAGGTTCTTAGATAGCCGTTCAGACCTCCCATTCAACACAACAGTCACTCCATTGAAGTAATGAATATTTGTTGGTGTGGGTGTTGGAAGTCCAACAACGAAGACAAATTTCACTCTGAAATTATTCCAGTGATCAGATTTCATATAGGTTTTACGAGCATATGATCGTTGTTCAGTGCAGTACACGCATGACTTGACGAGGACAACCAAGTCAAATGTTTCTCTACTGTGTGAGGGATTACAGGTGTTGTCGGGTAATTGCACTGCCAGAAGAGCATCGTTGTTTACCGGTATCTGAAATGGCAGACATCGAGAGAATAATTTGTGAGTGGAGTGGCTGTCAAATATATCTGAATGATGCAGTTACGAAGATTGTGGATGAATGAATTGATGGCGTGACTACTTGGAAGATGCATCGATGATGAGACTGCTATTGATGTAATGGGTGATCATTGAATGTGGGATGAAAATTTGTGTGTGTGTGTGTGCCTGTGCGTGTGAATATGATCTGAAGATGAAGTTGGAAGATTACTAAGCATCAATGAACAACAGTGACCTGCCCTGTTGACTGAACAGCATCACAAAGATTGGCAAGCGAAAATGAGTTGGTCGGCAAGTGTGACGAAAAATGGAGAGTCAAGCGTCAGATATTCTCATGACTACCTATCAGTATTCTTGGTGCTTTCAATGGAATGATTAACCCATCGACTGCTTCGCCTCGTAATTCAGATTGTGCAGCGAATTTCTAAGCATTTGACTCAAATCGTGTCGCTGACCACTCATTCATCACACCTACACTAATCAGCAAATAGTCAGTCACTAGGAGATACTTCATTCGTGATCCTATCACTTTTGTCAGAATTGGTTGATAATTGAGAGAGTATTAATTTGCTCGGTGGTTTGAAATGCGCCACAGTCGAATATCAACGCTGTGAGCTGAGTTTGACAGTGACAAGTCACCAGTATAAGAAGACGACTGTTAGTATCACAATCAATGAATAGCGAATTAGATGACTACACTTAATAATAATTAGTCAAATTACAAAAGTCGAAGAATTCAACACAGATCTCTGGAAGCACGTTTACGGAGTGTGCAGATACGAGGACCCGGGTCAGCGTTACCTCTTCAATGAACCACTTAGTCAACTGTGGATTAGCATGATGAAATTCCTATATGTGTGTTGTGTGACATACAACCTAGTCATGCTTATACGATATCAGTCAGATCACGTGACATACCTCATTCTCAGGGAGACCGACTGCAATTCCATCCAGATATTTCGTCATATTGAAATATATTGGATAATGTCTGGAAGCTGTAGGATTGCCAACTTCGCCTACAGCCACTTCATCATTCGTCTGTTTATATAGCAGATTTAATCCTCCAACTCCACTATTCATGCCTGATTTCACCACACTGAAACGAATTCGAAAATCAATGAAGTCCACATTTGCATGAATGAGTGGTATGGAGATCAATGAGAAGGGGAACATTCCAACAGACGGTTGAAATCCCTTCGACAAGGTGTGGTAGTTGACCTTGTCAATATTCAACGAATCCACAAAAGACATCCACGACTTTTCTGATCTCACGATTTCAGCGAAACTGTCATTTGTGCATGCTAGAGACGTTTTCACATTAACAGGCTGTGTATATTTGTAGTTCGGTGTTTGGAAGCGAAGATAGTAAGAGGAAAGCATAAATATCAGCAGAAGTATTAGTAGTAAAGTCGACAGACTTCTTCGCATTATGCAGTATAATTTGCTTCTACGCAGATTAGCTGGAATCTTCATTTTATCCTGATTAACAACGATGTAGTCTCTGATTGTGGTGAGTTCGATATGAGAGAGAGAGAGAGAATTGAAGATGTGGCTATCTGTTGAATAATTCACTCAATATCTCCACTGTTAGCACTAGTCTAGATTCAGTCACAATCTACCTCCTTCAGGTTTTATTCACCTTAATACATTTATGCACCGTAACATCGGTGTCCTTGAACTCAAATCAGGTTGTTTGTTTGGAGCAGTGAGTAAATGATTGATTTATCCAATGGAATGCAGCCGTACTTACTTCTTACTTTCAATTGCTAAAGGTGATCACAGGATAAACAGATAGCAAGTGGAATGAACCAGTAGTTTACACACTTGTGTGTTTGTGTTTGTGTGTGTGTGTGTGCGAGGGAGAGACAGTATCTCTGAGTTGGTTTTCTAGTGAATACAGCTACGTGAGAGAGAGAGAGAGAGGAGCACTGAGTTACACTCAGACACTGAAAGATGAAGAGTGAGATGAGAGGAAGCGATTGTTTTGTGAATAGAATATTGGTGTGTAGCCAGATTGAGCTAATATTGATTAAATGGGTTCACCGAAGTGATAATGAAGTCAACGACACAGACAGTTGACGAGACTTGGAGAAGTATTTCACAAATGTGTAGACGCCATGAAACAGAGAACTCAAATTGAATGTAGGAGGAATGAGATTGAACGTTCTCATCATTGTCGTCGAGAGGATACGTTGTATATTTTTAATTCAGTTTCTGAATGTTGAATTTGAAATTTGTACTTCTTAGATGTTTTTTCACGAATTTCGTCTTCATTTTGACGGTTTCTTGGATTATCTGATGGTCTAAGTGGGTCCGTATATTATGCTTTTCTCAACTTTTTGTAATGTAGTTTTCCCCTCGCCCAACTCACCTTCCTTACACGCTCTTGGTTTCGGCTACAAAACTAGCGATCTAGTCGACTAAGAGAGGTTGTTAAAAGGAGGTGAGCCCACTGAACTGCTGACATCGAAGATTAGGAAGGTAATACCTAAAACATTATTCGTCACAACACCAGGTTTGAAATCCATCATTCGTCGTCTAATCCCGATGTAGGTGAAGGATAATCTATCGAATCTTGCCACTACAAAGTGCATTTATAATGTTAACTGCTTCTGTTGCGACAGTAACACAGACAGGACTCAGAAGGTCCACTGTCGTCAAGACTAGTCATCTCTCCCGGTGACACTGGATCACTGTAAATATGATGTTTCTCTACTCAAACTATTGACGTTATCATTAATATCTGACCAATATCACACGCTGAAAATTTCATACTTCTATCAAAAATACTCTGTGGAGTCAAGCTATAATAAAATAAAAATAAAAATAACGCTGTGGGTCGGTGGCACATTGGTTAGGACTCTCGCCATCCATGCACATGTTCCGAGGTTCGAGCCCTCGTCGACGCACACCTGATATCTATGTTCGGCCTGCGAAATTTTGGCTACCGATATCCACGCTGAAAATTTCATACTTGTGCCGAAAATACGGTGTGGAATCAAGCTTTAATAAAGAAAGTGTTATAGGCGCATGGTTCAACCTAAGTTTCGATATTTATTATCGAACCAATCATTCTAATGCGTAATATCTTGGAGACAATAATTATTTGCACCCTTAACTTCAAAAGTACCCACATGTTAAAGTAATACCAGGGAAGAGAATGCAGTAGAGATGTGCTACTTAGGACCTATATTCCACTCAAAATCGACGGAACAAATAAAAATAATACCAAATAAAATAATAATAATAGTTCACATAATAGAGATTAATGTGCAAAGATGTATATGGACAGTCTGTGAGAAGATATTCGAACAGCTACACTACACATCGATGATGCAAATGACAGTCAGTAGTGCACAAGATGCAATTAACATCACACAGATTAATGGCAATTAATACTGGATGGATAGTCTCCTCAAGAGAATCATACGTATGTTCAATCTCATTCCTCCTACATTCAATTTGAGTTCTCTGTTTCATGGCGTCTACACATTTGTGAAATACTTCTCCAAGTCTCGTCAACTGTCTGTGTCGTTGACTTCATTATCACTTCGGTGAACCCATTTAATCAATATTAGCTCAATCTGGCTACACACCAATATTCTATTCACAAAACAATCGCTTCCTCTCATCTCACTCTTCATCTTTCAGTGTCTGAGTGTAACTCAGTGCTCCTCTCTCTCTCTCTCTCACGTAGCTGTATTCACTAGAAAACCAACTCAGAGATACTGTCTCTCCCTCGCACACACACACACACAAACACAAACACACAAGTGTGTAAACTACTGGTTCATTCCACTTGCTATCTGTTTATCCTGTGATCACCTTTAGCAATTGAAAGTAAGAAGTAAGTACGGCTGCATTCCATTGGATAAATCAATCATTTACTCACTGCTCCAAACAAACAACCTGATTTGAGTTCAAGGACACCGATGTTACGGTGCATAAATGTATTAAGGTGAATAAAACCTGAAGGAGGTAGATTGTGACTGAATCTAGACTAGTGCTAACAGTGGAGATATTGAGTGAATTATTCAACAGATAGCCACATCTTCAATTCTCTCTCTCTCTCTCATATCGAACTCACCACAATCAGAGACTACATCGTTGTTAATCAGGATAAAATGAAGATTCCAGCTAATCTGCGTAGAAGCAAATTATACTGCATAATGCGAAGAAGTCTGTCGACTTTACTACTAATACTTCTGCTGATATTTATGCTTTCCTCTTACTATCTTCGCTTCCAAACACCGAACTACAAATATACACAGCCTGTTAATGTGAAAACGTCTCTAGCATGCACAAATGACAGTTTCGCTGAAATCGTGAGATCAGAAAAGTCGTGGATGTCTTTTGTGGATTCGTTGAATATTGACAAGGTCAACTACCACACCTTGTCGAAGGGATTTCAACCGTCTGTTGGAATGTTCCCCTTCTCATTGATCTCCATACCACTCATTCATGCAAATGTGGACTTCATTGATTTTCGAATTCGTTTCAGTGTGGTGAAATCAGGCATGAATAGTGGAGTTGGAGGATTAAATCTGCTATATAAACAGACGAATGATGAAGTGGCTGTAGGCGAAGTTGGCAATCCTACAGCTTCCAGACATTATCCAATATATTTCAATATGACGAAATATCTGGATGGAATTGCAGTCGGTCTCCCTGAGAATGAGGTATGTCACGTGATCTGACTGATATCGTATAAGCATGACTAGGTTGTATGTCACACAACACACATATAGGAATTTCATCATGCTAATCCACAGTTGACTAAGTGGTTCATTGAAGAGGTAACGCTGACCCGGGTCCTCGTATCTGCACACTCCGTAAACGTGCTTCCAGAGATCTGTGTTGAATTCTTCGACTTTTGTAATTTGACTAATTATTATTAAGTGTAGTCATCTAATTCGCTATTCATTGATTGTGATACTAACAGTCGTCTTCTTATACTGGTGACTTGTCACTGTCAAACTCAGCTCACAGCGTTGATATTCGACTGTGGCGCATTTCAAACCACCGAGCAAATTAATACTCTCTCAATTATCAACCAATTCTGACAAAAGTGATAGGATCACGAATGAATTATCTCCTAGTGACTGACTATTTGCTGATTAGTGTAGGTGTGATGAATGAGTGGTCAGCGACACGATTTGAGTCAAATGCTTAGAAATTCGCTGCACAATCTGAATTACGAGGCGAAGCAGTCGATGGGTTAATCATTCCATTGAAAGCACCAAGAATACTGATAGGTAGTCATGAGAATATCTGACGCTTGACTCTCCATTTTTCGTCACACTTGCCGACCAACTCATTTTCGCTTGCCAATCTTTGTGATGCTGTTCAGTCAACAGGGCAGGTCACTGTTGTTCATTGATGCTTAGTAATCTTCCAACTTCATCTTCAGATCATATTCACACGCACAGGCACACACACACACACAAATTTTCATCCCACATTCAATGATCACCCATTACATCAATAGCAGTCTCATCATCGATGCATCTTCCAAGTAGTCACGCCATCAATTCATTCATCCACAGTCTTCGTAACTGCATCATTCAGATATATTTGACAGCCACTCCACTCACAAATTATTCTCTCGATGTCTGCCATTTCAGATACCGGTAAACAACGATGCTCTTCTGGCAGTGCAATTACCCGACAACACCTGTAATCCCTCACACAGTAGAGAAACATTTGACTTGGTTGTCCTCGTCAAGTCATGCGTGTACTGCACTGAACAACGATCATATGCTCGTAAAACCTATATGAAATTTGATCACTGGAATAATTTCAGAGTGAAATTTGTCTTCGTTGTTGGACTTCCAACACCCACACCAACAAATATTCATTACTTCAATGGAGTGACTGTTGTGTTGAATGGGAGGTCTGAACGGCTATCTAAGAGCCTACAGTCATCTGGTTGGTCTGCATTGAAGGAGTTGAAGAAGGAGAGTGACTCTCATGAAGATGTGTTGATTGGTGGATTCTACGACAACTACTTCAACTTAACCAAGAAGATGATGTTGACATTTCGTTGGGCGTCGACGACGTTTAACAAGCGAACACCCTTGTTTCTGTTTCTTGACGACGACTATGTACTTCATCCAGAGAACACAATCAAGCTGGTGAGATCACTGAATAGATCTGAGGTGAAGTGGTTTGCTGGTGGTCAGGTCCATCCGACGTCTGTGGTTACACGTCCAACTGTTGGATCATTGAGTTCTCGTTGGAGTGTTTCACGTGATGAATATCCATGGGATTATTATCCTCCATATTTCTTTGGTGTGTGTTACATATTGGGAGCAGAATTGGTGGAGCATGCGTCTATTGCGATGTCATTCACGCAGGATCTTCGAATGGATGATGCATATCTGGGCATAGTTCTGGCGAGATTGAACAAAAGTCTTACGAATCTGAAGCAATTCAGTGTGTCCACTCGTAATGTTGACCACATGTCTAATCTGGTTAACATCGAACGATCAATGGCCAATCGCCTATTTACGTCTGACTAACAACTCTGTAACAACTGATTCATCCGGACTTACTACACCATGTAATGTGAGTTCTTCTTCATGTGCATTAAATATATTCGCATTATCATTGTTATCACTGACAAGATGGTAAATATATCTTTGCTAGCGTTTTCGCTGACTTATTTCTATTCATACTGGCATATATTGTGCACAAGCTGAGAAACAAATTATTCTCCTTCGGTCATATCAAATCAGCCTTCATTGACCATGAATAGGACATTTTATTACCACTGGCGCAGACAAATACAACTGTGAGCAATAAAACTGCAGTCATACTTTAGTGCTTTTAATTCAATTAAAAGTGCTCAGATGGGCTGGTAGATTAGGGGCATGTGATGGCATTATCATTCAAATTGTGTAGTGATATATTTGAGTTCAAGGAGTAGAAGCGATTCAGCGTTCTGGCAAAACATGGGAGACACGGAAACACTACCTCCTTTTTTTATGCTTTTTTGATGGTTCCTCCAACCTTTTGATTCAATCAGAAGGCCTTTTTGTCTCGAATTAGTGTTGAAAATGCAGATTTTCCCCTAGCTGCTGAGTATAGCTGATCGCAAGTTGATTCTTGTGAAACGGATATACATAAAATATATATTTAAAGCAGTGTAATATTATTGAAAATTAGTTCGATTATTCCATGATCAAGTTGTGGGAATTGAAGGCATCTTCTCAGTCTATGACAGCGTTATGATTCGTTTAGAGAAATATTAAGCATGGGTAGGCTGAGGAAGGCCTGTTTCTATTTTTGTGTCAGTGGCCTAAATTTGATTTTTAGCGCGAATGGTCATTACAAGGTAAGTGGCGCATTCGCGCTTGTTAAATGTCTGTTCTTCAACAACGCAATAAGCGGCCGTAGTTGTTCTGAAACGCGTAATGTATTTGCCCAACACATTTCGGACACTCCGATCACACACCTACTTGTCACACACAGTTCTGTGTAGGCAAGAAGGCATGAATCATTACAATACAAGTAGGATTGTGTACAGGTCAAAGTCACAGATAGTGAGTAGACAGATGACGCAATGGTGTGCGTGAGACATAGAAAACAAAAACAAAGAAGGGGTTGAAAATGTTATGAAGTGAATTGGACCTTGATTCTAAATCGGACTGCGAAGGCAGGTTTAAAGTCATGGCAAATTAATTTTGGACAAAATGCAGGTTTAAGCGCTAATATGGTCAAAGCTGCAACGAGTTCAAGCATGTGACTCAAACTTGTTTAAAAATGGGCTTAAAGCTATTAATGAAATCGAACTTGTGACTCGTCTTTATAATGTGATTAGTTAAAGATGATGTTGGACATCTATTTCCGGGGTCAATTGTATCCGGTGATTCCATTTGTTGTTGCAGCCACGTTGGAATACTTTCTGTAGCCCTAACCGGCAGAGATCGATTGGTCTTCCCTATTCTATGCATCCACACATATATGTAAATCGATAACCACAATGTCATGTGACACAATCATTTGGATAATGTGAGGGTTCACAAGACAGTATAGTTCTCTTTTTCTCTATGAATTTACGTTTAGCTGCATATTAAGTTCTATGAATTGCCGCTTTGAGTCCTTGTTTAGTGAGGAGACTTTGTGGATCAACCCTGAACGCCAAGTATATATAAACATCCCTTTTGGGAGCTGATTGGATCGGTAGAGCTCTTCGGTTGACACTTCCATAACGTTTAATAAATCTCAGTGGGTAATTGTCATCCGACGAAATTTCAGTGAGCTCTTGTCGTTCGTCTTCAACCGCATCGGAAATTTATATACGTGTAAGCTGAGTCCTTGTGCATATGTAAATGTCGCAACAAATTCAGTCACATTTATAAATTTACATTAAAGTGGGCTCACGGGATATCTTATCCTACAACTGCTTTGAAATTATACGGCGAGTGATGCATTTCAAACCTGGTGTTGCGACGAAGAATGTATTAGCTATTATCTTCCTGAGTTTCGATGCCAGCAATTCTGTGGTAGCATCTCCTTTCATTGACAAACCCATGAACATGCAGGTGTCTTCAGACCAGTCTGCAGCCATTTCTCTCTAGCTTTTATCATCATGGAGGCTTTTTGAAATTTGTCTGCATCTCCGTTATCATCTAGTGAGTGTTATCTTTCTCTTCATTTCCTAGACCAGAGTGTCGATTGTGCAGATTTCTCTAGCACGAAACGAGAGGGAACTGATGAGATTTCGTTTGTGATGGAATGACGACACCTTGATATGTATCCATATATTTATATATATATGTGTATGTTGGTCTCTCTTTCTGTTTGCTCGCTTAGTCTGTGTCCATTTCACTTGTATGAACCTGTCTCCTTTAACATTGTATATTCCCCCTATATTATATATATAATATGAGTGTTTGTTGACAGTCCGTTGCTTGGTGACATATATCCATATATGGTGGTTGTTGATATGTCTGCTATATTTCGCTATGTATACATGGATCGATACTTCATTATAATTAGCCATTCATGTTAAGACTGTCTAATGATTGTTCACACCCTTGTCATATATATTTCGCTCTCACAATTTGTGTGACTGACACATACTTACTTTGGTGGGATACCACTTTTGCATTCTCCTTGTGTTTGGAAAATAGAAGTATCATCGCAAACCTAGTGGTCTTCTGATTTCCGCCTTCTTGCGTCAGGACTATTAGTTTCTCGACCAGTACATAACAATAATTTAGCGACGAGTACATAACAATTTGGCGACGGGGAAAACTACTATTAACCACTCAGCAGCAGCAACATAACAATTTACTATGGATCCTTCTAAATTGGAATTATTGTTTGAACAACAAATGAAATTAATGGAAATGTTCGTCAACCAACAGACTGGTCCAGCTTCACCTTCAAGCAATCCCAATCATACCATGCTACCATCTGTCGACGGCATTGTGAACAGTATTTCACAGTTCAATTATGACCCAGAGGCTAATGTCACTTTTGACACATGGTATCAACGTTATGAGGATTTATTCACTGTTGATCTCGCCTCACAAGACGATGCCTGGAAGGTGCGAGTGTTGTTACGTAAATTGGGTCCGGCAGAATATGAACGGTACTGCAACCTAATTTTACCCCAGAAACCACGTGACAAGTGTTTCGATGATACAATAAAGCTGCTGCGTGAACATTT